TTTACATGGAGATTAATCAGCAAAATTGCATTATTCTTGAGAATAAAAAAAGCTTTCCTATTTTGGATCACATGAATGGAAGACGATCAGAAGTATTCTCAGCTACTCTGCTTCCTGCTCTCCTTGTTCTTTCCAGTCACTAGCAAGAAAAGAAGCAAACCACCTGGTCTGCTTCCTTTGAAGAGCCTTGGAAAAGGAAGGAAAAATAGTCTTGCTAAAACCCATCCTATAACTACTGGACTCTTGACTGGGATCATTCAACTTTGTAGACTAAGAAGAGGAAAGAAAGAGTGTGGGAAAAGACAATTGAGGTGGTGATGGAAGGGCCAGGGCAGTAAACACAGAAAAGGCTAACTAGTAGCCCTCAACAGAGTCACTATAATAGTGTGTGCTTTTTGCTTTGCCCCAGACATGGCTTCTCTTCTCACTTTTCTGTGCCTCCGTCTTTTTTGAAAATTGATTCCCTTATACCCGATCATCAATAATTTATAATAAAAATAAAGCAAAGAACTGAAAATCTCTAAGATTACTATTCAAACTCTGGGCTGTCATGGTTATTGACTTAAAGGAATAGTTGTTCTTTTGGTGTATAGGGATTTTGTTGTATATATTACAGGTATAATAACATTGCAGTGACTTATAGGCAATAGTCCATTCAGTGTAGGCCATCGATGCTGAGTGAAATGTATAGTTTACTCATGAAGTTCTTGTACTTGAATCTCATTAGCTCAAAATTTCTTGAAGAAATGGCATTCTTAGACTCATCTTTCCAAATACGTATGGTTATTTTAATTAATGATGAGGTCATACTTTTTGTTTGTTTGTTTTGCTGGGATAGTCATGATGTTACTCTTGTTCATTTTTCACAGCATTTAAAACTCTGTGTTTTTAACAAAAACTGGGCCTACATGGAATTACAGGGGAACATTTGTACACTAGCATTGTTGGATAGAAAAATTAGTTTACCCAGCTAAAGACACAACAGGGCAAACTTAATCTAAGAAATGAGAAACAATGAGCGCATTCTCTAATTAGAATTCTGTTTACATTTGCATTGGCAAGTTAATCATTCCTTTGTTTCAAGAAGACTCTATTGGCTCTAATTGAATTCTCTGACTAATAACCTGTCAAGTATTTGTACTTCTACAAGTTTGTGGAAATTTCATACCTCCATTTTGTCATGGAGACTTGGTGTCTTGGACAAGTTGCTTAGATACTGACTCACAATCAGTGCAGCAGACATTACTTATACCAATAATCCATTATCCCACCTGCCATAATTGCAGGCAGGACCTAAGTTTATTATATTATTAAATATTCAGCCTCACATTAGCCTCTGTGCAGGAATATCAGTTACTTCCTTCAGGCCATCTATATAAAAACAGCTGCTTTCTGCATGTAGCTGGATTCACCTGTTATACACTGCCATGAAGTTCAACCACAGAACTCTTCCTTCTCAACTGATGTATCTTTTCATTTTCTTCCTGGAAAATGCTTTCACGAAGGCACTAGGGTTTTTATACTCATAGTTAAACAAATCTAGAATTTGCCTCATGATACTTTGCTGGGATAGCCACTTCAAAGTTACAAATGACTAGATTCCATCAAATCTGTCCTGACTAAAGGGGAAACAGAACAAAGTCTAGTGGTTGAAATTCATGAACTTCCAGTTACACAGTCCTAAAAAAAAAAAGTCCTGTGACTTACTAGCTGTAACCTCGGTCAAATAATATAATTATTAAATTATTGGTTTCTTCATATGTAAATTAGGAATGGTGTGAGGAAGACACTAGATATTAGATAATGAAAACCAAGCACTTTAGCAATGTGCAAAGAGTTTAATAAATGCTTGCCTACACGATGCTGATGATCATAAAGAAAATGAAAACATTTATACTGTGGCAAGTGCTACAAAGGGTTCTGGTTACCTCCTTTTATGCAATATCCTCCCTTCTTTCTTAGTTAACAGAACTCTCAGCAATGCACCCTCCACAAAGGACCTGAGAACCTTTCTCAGGTTCCCTTGCCACTTGGTTTGGCCATGAGGCTAAGTTATGAGATGGTAGCATATAAGTGAACAGGTTTTAAGAAATTTTTAGAAAGGCTCATAGAAACACTGTAACCTCTGTCTTACTCTTGCACATTTCTTTTGTTTGTACTCTGAAGTATGGATTAAGTGAATGTATGTTCAGCAGTCCCCATGGAGAATGAGATCTTGGAGAAGGAAACCATATTTTGAGAATGATGATGCAAAAATAATAAATAATACATCCTGGCACCTTATTGACACATGGGAGCTTTCATATTTTTCATTTCTGGACTTGTCTATGAGAGGGAAACAACACCTGTTATTCTGGTGGTTTTAACATTACAAATTAACTTCAGCCTAAATTATACAGAGGATTTTGTTGTTGTTTAAAGTTTAGGATGTTGTAGTCTTAGAACAGATCTTCATTTTCAGAGTTCTATGAAAGGCAGAGGAATTCAAATTGAAAAATACAAAAAAAAGTCTCTTTTTTTTTCATAAGACAGAGAGTATAGAAAGGTCTGAGGTGAAAGCAGTGCAGTAAAAAGGAAAAGCTGTCTGATGAGAACAGTTAAGACATAAAGACGTTTATGGAACATAAAGGCCATTTTGCTTGTTGCTGAGGAGGATTTTGTAGAAATAAGAGAGAAAAGACAATTAGTGCCAGGAGAAACTTGAATGAAAGCACTGAAATGCTTTAAGAGCTTCTAAGAAGCTTCCTAATGTAATATTAAAAGTGGGCCTGTAATCTTAGCACTTTGGGAGGCTTAGGCAGGCAGATCACTTGAGGTCAGCAGTTCAAAACCAGGTTGGCCAACACGTTGACCCATTTCTACTAAAAAATACCAAAA